GGGGGGGGATGAAATCAAAATTTATTATGGAATTATCACAGGTCTGCGAAGTCCGGTATTTTAAGAAGGTTGATCCAGCCGATAAAGGGGTTGACCGCAGTTTTACGTAAATGACGCTCGTTTTGGATGTAAAAAAATCCAGTTTTCGCGCGAAGAGACGTAATAATAAGTGACCTCCCTCCAGCTGTGATAACAATTGTCATTTCAACCTGAAACTTCTCTATGATTAATGTCTCATTATAAGAAACTATTTGGCACGCTGCAGTCCAGTCCTAAAATCAAGGGTCCAAAAAACAGGCGAAAAAAAACCACCTTTTTGAGGATCACTCTTATAAGACGCAAGAAACATCAGAGTTGCTGTACAAATTAGATATATATTTCGTTTTCCTAAAAAAAAAGAATGTAAATTTTTGTTACAATAACGTATCTTCTGAACGAATGTACTCTCCAATATCTGCTTGGTGAAAGCAAACTACTGCCACGGGATCCGCGTGTTTGCAATCGACTGTACTTTTTGCAGCGATGCCAAATCCCTGGAAGTATTAAATGGAAAACATAAATGAACTTCATATTGCTTACGATATCTGTTTTTTTTTTTCATAATAATTGAGTGAAAAAGATAGCAATGCATTGAGAAACAATTCAATCTGATATTACATACCAGTGGCAAATCGGTCATACTAAACACGACGACGCCTTGATATTGAGAAATACCCTCCGTCATACGAGCGAGACCCGATTTCATAATATGATGCCCATAAAGAAACTGTTGCTCCGCCGAAGGTTTCACCCAAATTTTGTACTGAAATAAGAATTTTGTATTTGATAAGTTTGTAAATTATATTCGGTCACTTGCATTATACTAGATTAGTGTATAATAAAAGCTGCTGTAAAGCTAGCAAAGTTAAACCATAGAAATATTTTGAATGATTACCCAATAATTATTGCTACATTATTTAAAGTATACATTATTTTTCATTGTTGAGTGACCCAAAAAAATCGCCCGTTTTTTGGGCCCGCGATTTCGAGACTGAACTGTATGTTAAATGATACCTTATAATGAGATATTAATTATAGAGAAGTTTCAAGTTGAGGTGACAAT